CTGCAGACCCATTACTGAGGGGGTCCAGATCCTGCAGACCAATCACTGAGGGGGTCCAGATCCTGCAGACCCATCACTGAGGGGGTCCAGATCCTGCAGACCCCACTACTGAAGGGGTCCAGATCCTGCAGATCAGATCCTGCAGACCCATCCCTGAGGGGGGTCCAGATCCTGCAGACCCATCACTGAGGGGTCCAGATCCTGCAGACCCCACTACTGAAGGGGTCCAGATCCTGCAGATCAGATCCTGCAGACCCATCCCTGAGGGGGGTTCCAGATCCTGCAGACCCATCACTGAGGGGGTCCAGATCCTCCAGATCAGATCCTGCAGACCCCATCACTGAGGGGGTCCAGATCCTGCACAGCCATCACTGAGGAGGTCCAGATCCTGCAGACCCATCACTGAGGGGGTCCAGATCCTGAAGACCCATCACTGAGGGGGTCCAGATCCTGCAGATCAGATCCTGAAGACCCATCACTGAGGGGGTCCAGATCTTGCAAACCCATCACTGAGGGGGTCCAGATCCTGCAGACCCATCACTGAGGGGGTCCAGATCTTGCAAACCCATCACTGAGGGGGTCCAGATCCTGCAGACCCCATCACTGAGGGGGTCCAGATCCTGCAGACCCCATCACTGAGGGGGTCCAGATCTTGCAGACCCATCACTGAGGGGGTCCAGATCCTGCAGACCCATCACTGAGGGGGGTCCAGATCTTGCAGACCCATCACTGAGGGGGTTCTGATCCTGCAGACCTTATCCCAGATGTTTACAGGTTTTCTCCTGGTTCTGTGGTCCAGTTCCAGAGACCCTTTCTAGAAATAATGAAGCTTGAAGGAGTGGTCTCCACTGCTGCCTTTATGCCACAGTTTTCAACTAGCAACCCACAAAGACTCCCTGCTGCAGAGGAGGTTCTACAGAGTCTTAGGTTTCTGTGAACGAGACGTTGTCTGAGCAGAACCTGAACCCAGCCTGTTGGTTCTGCTCAGACTGTAAACATGTTGCTTTAATGTTTTCCTCCTGAAGGTGAAGCTCTGCGGCTGCAGGGTCTCTGTTTCAGGGTGAAAGTGTAAAATCACTTCCATTCTTCTCCAGAATAATAAATTTCAGCCCAAACATTAGTTTTTTAAGGGATTTAAGCACATCAGAGTTTCCTTGGCGCCCACTTTAAATGAGAGAAATATTTCTTTGTGTTTGTGTCGGAGGCTCTGAGAGGCGATCTGCGGCGGAGCTGAATGACATATTTGTATGAAAATGGCTGCGTGTGCGCTCCGGCTGGACCCGGCCTCTCTCTGCTTCTTTATATTCCTCCAGTGCTTCTGCGGCGCCATAGCAACGGCCATTTTCTCCCAGAGAAAATCACACAGAGGAAATGTGAAAGTGTAATTTAGCACAATTTTCCCTCGGTGTGGGAAGTGTTTTCTCCGGAGGTTTGATGTTTATGGTTCTGCACGTGGAACGACTCGTTTCAATTTGCAGAGCGGCGACGTGACGAATCAGACGTTTGTGTGTGACGAGACGCCGGACTCTGTCAGAACCGTCTGGGTCTGTGGTTCTGATGTCAGGCGTCATGTGATGACTCATGGGCTCCATGATGTCAGGAGGACAGCTGGCTTTAAAACTGCGCTCAGAGGAACCGCTCATCCTGAAACCTTTACCTCCTCCTGCAGTTTGGATCGAGATGATGGATGCTGCAGGAAATACAACTGCATCTGTTGGGCTCTGAAGCGCACGTCTCAGTGAGCAGACTCTGCTGCATCGTCTTAAAGTAGAATAAAAGTAGTTCTTTGAGTCACTAAGGCCACCAGAGCCGAGACCAAGGAGGTTCTATAGAACAGCTGGAGCTCAGAAACCACGTGACCGTGTGATCGGCTGGTGAAGCTAACGGCTAACGCTAAACGGGCAAGAGTCTGAATTTCCCATTGTTGTACATGTTGACAACAGAGCAGAAAAAAGGACTGACAATGTAGAAATCATTAAAACTATTAATAATAACATTAACAAGATTATTATTAATATTTTACAGTTTATATAATCCATCTAATGTTTTAAAGGAGACCAATTATGAGTCCTAGAAATTTTTATGGTATGTCTGTGGACTATCCAGACCATGTTCATTCAATTTAATGCACAAAATAATTCTCAGATAATAAAATTTCCCATTTTCTAGTTCGTCCTGCTCTGACCTCAGTTCAGAAGAGCTGTTTATGTTAATGAGCTCTGTTGGTAACGCCCTCCAAAAATCTGTTGACATTAACTCCGCCCTCCAAAGCCAGCTTTAGCATGGCTAATAATTGCGGAAGCTCCGTTGTTCAACCATATACTGTAAATGAGACCCTGAGTCAGACCCAGAGGCAGAGTCGTGGTCCCAGCTTCTTTTTTTTCCTCTCACTCATCTGCTCTGCGCTCACTCTGCATGCTGTTACCAGAGCAGGGAGCAGCAGCGGTCAAAATACCTCAGAAACTCGAACAAATAGGCTTTAACAAGGCTTTAAAAAAGCTAAACAATAGAGGTACATGAGAAAACGTGTTCATAACGAACGAAAATAAATAATTAAATTGTGTCTGTGCCGGTCTCCAACCCTGGTCTCCCACTCTCTGGTCCAACACTCATTGCCCTATTGAAGGCTTGTTGTGAAGTGAGCTGCGCATTACACAACAACACGGTGACGGCTTTTTATACTGAGGAGGTGGAGCCTCACCCGGGGGTTGCTAGGTGAGGGGCTGAACGCAGGTTCTGGTGGGTTGTCATACGGCTTGAGACATTACAAAATGATGGAAGTATAAAACTTGTTAATATACATTAAAATACATTTACTTACAGTAAATATGCCCCTGGGTGCATTTTTTTGGTCCTAGGACTGTTTTTTTAAGAAGTACTGTACATACCCAAAGTTGAGTAAAAAAACCTTTAAAAAAATGAATTTTGCATAATAGGTCCCCTTTAAGTAATGTCAGAAAAGCTGTTTGTGTTATGGATTTATTAACAGAAGATAAACAGGAAAACGTCTCATTTCACAACACAAGTCAGCAGATTTGATCTAATTTAGCTCAATGTGATCTGAGCAGAACATAATGTAACAGTTTAAAATTAAAATAATCTTATAAAGTCAATGTAATCACTGTTAGTTATTGAACTGGTTAGGAGATATTAGCTTGTGGAGCATATCTACAGAGTGTAGCGCTGTTGAATCATGCTACAATTTAACACAAACTATTAAATATTACTTTGTCCTCTGATTTAATATTTAGACCTACAGTGTAAAATAATATTATAAATGTTTGATTAATATTTAGACCTACAGAGTGTAAAATAATATTATAAATGTGAGGATTTTTAGGTTTCTGTTAGAGGAACCTGACCTGTTGAGAAGATGTTAGCTAACAGAGACAAGTTTCATGCTATAACAAGAGAACATTTTCTAACTGTTGACTGGTAAATATAAATATTCTTATTTTTTATGATGGTAAGAAGAAATAATAAATATACTTTATTACTAGCTGAAGTCATCATTTTTCAACAAGCTAAAGTCTAAGTTACAGGCTGACTTCAGGTCTGGTTTAGATCGTTACTTATAAATTATAGATTTTTCTGGTATAAATCTGCTGTTTTACATGAGTGTTGAATGAAATTAACATAATTATTAATTTATTGTAAAAACATGACCGATAATCCGTGAAACAGATCCGGTTCAGCTGCTGTTTATTATTAGTTTCCATGGAGGCTGTAAATAGTTGCCCTTTTTAGATGCCATTTCTGCTCCTCCATTACTGTCACAGACACTACCAGTGGACGGTATGGGTGGGGCTCAGTTTAGTGATCTTATTCAAGTCTATGGTCGAGACAAAAACCCTTCAGAGGAACTGAGCTGAAACGGAGAGGATGTTAGAGTGAGCGTTGCTCTCTGAGGGTGAAACACATCAGGAGTTAAACAGATGTTTATAACTCGGTAAAATCACGGTTTTCTTTCTGTCCTCTTTCAGAAGACAACATGGACGCTCTGTCTCAGGATCTGTTTAGTCCAGGAAGTCTGGTGTCCTGTGCAGGTCCTCAGCTGGATTGTGACTCAGAAACTCCTGATCTGCTGCTGCAGGATCCCCCCGTCCTCCCTCCTCCTCCTGGTCCCTGCGGGGGTCCTGGTGGGTCGTCGCTGCGTCCTCACGTGCACTTCCTGCTCTCGCTGTGCGCCCTGCAGCGCGCCGAATGCAGCGGCGGCGCGGAGGCTCGCTTCTTCGGCCCCGACGGAACGGTGGGCTCAGTGACGGCCGACACCGTGTGCCACCTCCTCCGCTGCGTGGTGGCGGCCTGCCGGGACCCCCCGGCGCCGGGCTTGCCCCCTGACCTGGTTCTGCGGGCCTGCCAGGTGGCATCCAGAGCTCTGGAGCTCCTCTGCGCTCCGAGGCGGCCATCTGTGGAGTTGATGAGACGTGTAGAAGAGCCGCTGAAGGAGCTGATTCAGACGCTGCTGCTCAGCAAACGGGCCAGCAGGGTGAGTACCAGGAGCCAGGTCCACACTCTGCACGCACCACCTGCCACCCACCACCTGGACATGAAGGTGAGGAGGCTCATCACGAGGTTCCTGACACAGTCACTATCAAACTTTAACTTCTGACCCAAACATCCCAACAGAACCGGTCATCAGTGATTTACACAAACTGATACAAACTGAGCCTCTGTCTCATGTTTGTCTCCAGAATGTCCCTGTGTTTGTGGACATCAGTTACACAAACAAGTCCATCAAACACATTCAGTCTGATTGTGACGTCAGTTTCTCTATTTTCTTTTACTTTTGTCTTTCCAGCAACAAATCCTGACCCTCATTGACTCCATATCTGAACTTCCAAACAGGAAGTGAAGGTTCTTTTAACTCACATCACCATCAAACCAAGTACAACCATCAAATAGAACCTGTAGAACCATCAAACAGAACCATCAAATAGAACCTGTAGAACCATCAAACACAGCCATCAAATAGAACCTGTAGAAACTATAGAACCATCAAACAGAACCATCAAAAAGAACCATCAAATGGAACCTGTAGAACCTGTAGAAACTATAGAACCATCAAACAGAACCATAAAGCAACCTGTGTAACCTATAGAACCTGTAGAACCATCAAACACAACCGTCAAATAGAACCTGTAGGACCATCAAACAGAACCATCAAATAGAACCTATAGAACCATCAAACACAACCATCAAACAGAACCTGTAGAACCATCAGACACAACCGTCAAATAGAACCTGTAGGACCATCAAACAGAACCATCAAACAGAACCTCCATCCATCCATCCATTTTCTTCCGCCTATCCGGGGTCGGGTCGCGGGGGCAGCAGCTTCAGAAGGGAGGCCCAGACCTCTCTCTCCCCAGCCACT